AACAGACATCTACAGAACTCTACACCCAAAACCAGCAGAATATACATTCTTCTCAAGTGCACAAGGAACATTTTCAAGAATAGATCGTACATGAGGCCACAAAAGGAGCCTCAGTAAATTCAAAAAGATTGAAATAGTACCAACCAGTTTCTCAGATCACAAAGGTATGAAACTAGAAATAAATTACGCAAAGAAAATGAAAAAATCCCACAAACACATGGAGACTTCACAACATGCTCCTAAATAACCAATGGATCAATGACCACATAAAAACAGAGATCAAGCAACATATGGAGACAAATGACAACAATAATTCAACACTGCAAAATCTGTGGGACACAGCGAAGGCCGTGCTAAGAGGAAAGTATATTGCAACACAGGCCTACCCAGGAAAGAACAATCCCATATGGGCAGTCTAAACTCACAATTAATGAAACTAGAAAAAGAAGCACAAATGAGGCCCAAAGTCAGTAGAAGGAGGGACATAATAAAGATTAGAGCAGAAATAAATAAAATCAAGAAGAATAAAACAATAGACAGAATAAATGAAAGCAAGAGCTGGTTCTTCGAGAAAATAAACAAAATAGATAAACCCCTAGCCAGACTTATCAAGAAAAAAAGAGAATCTACTCACATAAACAGAATCAGAAATGAAAAAGGAAAAATCACTATGGATACCACACAAATACAAATAATCATTACAGAATACTATAATTATATGCTAACAAACTGGATAACCTAGAAGAAATAGACAACTTTCTAGAAAAATACACCCTTCCAAGGTTGACCCAGATAGAAACAGAAAATCTGAACATACCAATGACCAAGAAGGAAATTGAATTGGTAATCAAAAACCTATCTAAGAACAAAACTCCTGGACAAGATGGCTTCCCAGCTGAATTTTATCAAACATTTAGTGAAGACCTAATATCCATCCTTCTTAAAGTTTTCCAAAGAGTAGAAGAAGAGGGAATACTTCCAAACTCATTCTGAGGCCAGCATTACCCTAATACCAAAACCAGGCAAAGACACCACAAAAAAAGAAAATTACAGACCAATATCCCTGATGAACATAGATGCAAAAATACTCAACAAAATATCAGCAAACTGAATTCAAAAATACCTCAAAAAGATCATCTATCATGATCAAGTGGGATTCATTCCAGGGATGCAAGGATGGTACAACATTCGAAAATCCATCTACATCATCCACCACATCAACAAAAAGAGTGACAAAAACCACACGATCATCTCCATAGCTGCAGAAAAAGCATTTGACAAAATTTAACATCCATTCATGATTAAAACTCTCAGCCAAATGTGTATAGAGAGAAAGTACCTCAACATAATAATAGTCATATATGACAAACCCACAGCCAACATTATACTTAACAGTGAGAAACTGAAAACTTTTCCTTTAAGATTGGGGACAAGACAAGGATGCCCACTCTCCCCACTTCTATTCAATGTAGTACTGGAGGTCCTACCCATGACAATCAGACAACACAAAGAAATAAAAGGCATCCAGATTGGCAAGTAAGAAGTTAAACTGTCCCTGTTTGCAGATGACATGATATTGTACAGAAAAAAACCTAAAGAATCCCTCCAAAACTACTAGATCTAATATCTGAATTCAGCAAATTGCAGGATACAAAATTAATGTGCAGAAATCTGTGGCATTCCTATACACTAACAATGAACTACAGAGAGAAATCAGGAAAACAGTTCCACTCACAGTTGCATCAAAAAGAATAAAATACCTAGGAATAAAGCTAACCAAGGAAGTGAAGGACCTATACTCTGAAAACTACAAGACACTCATGAGAGAAATTAAAGAAGATACCAATAAATGAAAACATATCCCATGCTCATGGATAGGAAGAATTAATACTGTCAAAATGGCCATCCTGCCTAAAGCAATCTACAGATTCAATGCAATTCCTATCAAAATACCAACACATTCTTCAA